ACCCATCAATTAATCCTCTTTCATCCCTTAATCTCTGTAAAAAATGGAAGAAAGTGTCATGAAAATCACAGCGCAGTAAGAAAAATAATTGTTCTGCGGCGCACAGTGACTCCCGGTAATTAAAAATTCACCTCTCCCCTCCTAACTGATATTAAGTGATGAACTAGTGGATTGGGCTGTTGGTCGCTCGCTGCGCTCGCTCCCATTGCGGGTGGGTTGGTAGCGGATGTATTCATGTGGGTCTGACCCGTCGGAAGGGTCGCACTATTTTTTTGTTACAGAGATTAAGGGATGAAAGAGGGTCAAGTGATCGGGAATTTAATTCTCTGTCGAATTGTCCTTTTTTCATCCCTTAATCTCAATTAGGAGGGGAGAGGTGAATTTTTAATTCCCGGGAGTCACTGTGCGCCGCAAAACAATTATTTTTCTTACTGCGCTGTGATTTTCATGACAGTTTCTTCCATTTTTTACAGAGATTAAGGGATGAAAGAGGGTTAATTGATGGGTAATTTAGTTCTCCGTCAAACAGCCTTTTTTTCATCCGAGAGAGAGAGAGTGAGAGGGAGAGAGTGCGAGAGAGAGAGTGAGAGGGAGAGAGAGCGTACGGCTGACGAAAAACCTCAAATGATTCTTTTTCTCGCATTCAGTCCGTGATGTTCCACAGGCCCGCGCGCACATGCGCAAATGGTCGCAACAATGCTGTTGTGAGTGGGAGCGAGACGAAGACTTCTCTCTCGCACAAAAGGTTCTCATTCCCGGCGCTGGATTTAGGGGTTGGAGCTAGAAAATTGCGTTTAACTTTGAATCCATAGGAGATTCGCGGGTACAATCAAGACAAAATTTGTGGTAAATGTTCTAATAAAAAATATGGAAGAAAAAAAAAAGAAATTCATCTATTCAATATCAAGATATAAATAGTAACATATATTAAATTCGCTCTAAATAAATAAACAACCTAGTGAAAAAAAAACACGGATATTCCGAATTACAAAAAAAAAAAAATTCATTAACTTCGATTTTTCAAATGGAAAACATATTTGTTTCCCATCTGATCTTCACGCGGCTCTGGGGGATGAACGGTTGGGAATAGGGGTAAAGTGCCCCAAACATTTTTAGTGTAGAATTTTGAGCTCTACAACTTTGTATATCATGTTTTTGGACGTACAGCGCGTTATTCACGAGTCATTTCGAAAAAACGCTTTTCAGGGGTAGTTTTTTGGCTTTTTCAACCCCCACCCAAACTGGGGGAACCTTAAACATCCGCTATTAGTTTCATACGCCCAAATCACAAATTGTATCAAAAATGGAGCCTGATTAGCAAACATTCGTATGTTAGACCTTCGTTCATTGGACTACTCCGGACTCACTCGACGCCGGAGAGCCGTTCGGGGTTTCTCCGCGCTTTTGAAAATTCATTCCTCCGCTCCTACTTGAGATTAAGTAATGAAACCGCTGTCATTTATTGAGAATTTAATTCTCTATCGATCGGCATCAGTTTCATTCCTTCATCTTAATTAGGGTGGGAGAAATGAATTTTCCAATCGGGAAAATGAGCTCCTCCGGGCTCACTCGACGTCGGAAAGCCGTTCGGGGTTTCTCCGCGCTTTTGAAAATTCATTCCTCCGTTCCTAACTGAGATTAAGAAATGAAACCGATGTCATTTATTAAAAATGTAATTCTCAATAAGCTTTGGTTTTATTACTTCATCTCAATTAGGGAGGGGAGAAATTAATTTTTGAATGAGAAGAACTTGTTCGGAGTTACTGCGCGCTTTGAAATTCATTCCTCCTCTCCTAATAGAGACTAAGGGAATGAAACCACTGTCATTTATTGAGAATATTATTCTCGATTGATAGATATTGCTTTAATTCCCTCTTCGCAATTAGGGGGGGGGGAATGAATCTTCCAATCAGGGGAGCCCCTGCGGACTCACTCAACGCCGGAGAGCCATTCGGGATTTCTCCGCGCGTTCGAAAATTCATTCCTCCGCTCCTACTTGAGATTAAGGAATGAAATCGTTGTCATTTAATGAGAATTTAATTCTCGATCGATCGGCATCGGCTTCAATCCTTCATCTCAATTAGGGTGGAAGAAATGAATTTTTCAATCGGGGGAGTCCCTCCGAGCTCACTCGACGTCGGAGACCCGTTCGGGGTTTCTCCGCGCTTTTGATAATTCATTCCTCCGCTCCTAACTGAGATTACAAAATGAAACCGATGTCATTTATTAAAAATGCAATTCTCAATCTGTAGACTTTGGTTTCATTCCTTCATCTCAATTAGGGAGGGGAGAAATTAATTTTTGAATGAGAAGAACTTGTTCGGAGTTACTGCGCGTTTTGAAAATTCATTCCTCCTCTCCTAATAGAGACTAAGGGAATGAAACCCCTTTCATTTATTGAGAATATTATTCTCGATCGATAGATGTTGCGTTCATTCCCTCTTCGCAATTAGGGGGCGGGGGAGAAATGAATTTTCTAATCGGGGCAGCCCCTCCACGCTCACTTGACGCCGGAGAACCGTTCGGAGTTACTCCGCGCTTTTGAAAATTCGTTCCTCCGCTCCTACTTGAGTAGGATAGGATAGAATTTCCCCAAGATTCCAAAAAGCTTCATTGTTCTTCGTGCATGCAAAATAGGGATCTTCGGGAAACTCCTTGCGATCGCAAGACTTTTACCGATTTATTTTTCTCCGTGTGACGTCCGTATAAAAGATCAAAAAATCAATTTAACAATGGGATAAATGGAGTGGAGAGAAAAACGTGAATATCTCGGAATTTAGATGCGATAAAATGGACCCTTTTCACGTGGAGGTACACATATAATTGGACTCAAATTTATAGAAATTTTTAATTTGCCTTGACGAAATTCCTTGAAATTTCCGTATTACGGCAACGCGATAAAAATTCCCAATAAGTGTTCCCGGAATTTCCGCGAAAATATTACTGAAACCTACAGACATCATTCCTGAATTCAAGACTTTCCTTTGATTTTCAGGATCATGTCACTAGAAATTTTTTACAAAATGACTTAATTTTAACATTGCTTGCTCATTGCATTTCAGAAATGCAGCTGCCTAAAAAAGACACATCGATTCCTAGGAACAACGTTTTTTTCTTCTCGGTAAATATAGACAATAGAGAAATGTCAGAGTGGAATTCCCTGATTTTTTTTCACTCTCGATTAATTTTTTAAAGATTCAAATTGATACTTGATTCATTCACATCGTTCACATCGATTGGAGACAACTTTTTATGGTCACTGAAGGAGGCAAACCATTCATCTAAATCTCGCAATAATCTGCGAAAAATCTTATTCATTAATCTATTATTATTGAATTAATCCCATTATGTGTAGATCGCTGGAGAACAACGAAAACGTTCCAACCGTTCAAACGAGTTGGGATGCTTTCTCTCTCCTTCGTCTCCATTTTCTTTCTCACTCGCACTCGTTAAGTTTGGCGGAGAACGGGCACGTGCCAACGCGACGGAGACGACAATGAGTGGGAGCGAGCGCGATACATATTCCTTTCTCACTCAGGGGGGAATAAATATATGTAATCGAACATTACTATAGTAAAAAAAAAACAAAATCTGCACAATTATTTAATAGAATCACTGGAAAACTATAGAGGAGCTACCGTATTGAGAACCCCTTTCCGGTTATCGACAAATTTATACTTGGGCCCTACCATTCCAATAGTTCCGTACGCTCCATCGTAGTCCATGCGCCACCGCTACTTATATTGCTGTTGAACACTTTACATTGGCCCTGCTGATCTCCCCTATAATCTCTGGCTTAGTTTCAGTGTTATGTCCGCCCAGATGTCACTAGGGCAAACAGCGCCAATTTCGAACTTGACGAAAGGGTTGGCAGGAACGTCCGCAATTGAAGCCCGGATGGGCCATCCAACGAAGTCCAATAATTATCCGATGTAATATCTGCTTAATCCTTGATTCGATGATTAATAATAATCAGAAACAGGGTAATGGAAATAAATCCAATACTGAGTGCTTCAGGAGAGCACGTAAACTATGTATTAACTTCACTAACTTGATACAAATCTTGAAATATATTATAAGGTAAAAGATCTTAACTCTAACTCGGACGCACATGGCCCAGGAGAAATTACGTTCTCACGTGAAACACAAAGGACACGAAGGCGGGCTTGTTCTTAATTAGTTATGGACCTTTTCGGAAAGTTTTCACATAAAATTTTACGATGTTTATGGCGACGCCGGAGAAATCAACATGCGTCCAATATTTATCTTAAATTTGAACCCAGTATTTATTCTAGACTGAGTTTATTCTAAAAGTTAATTCTAAATGTTTATTTGACTTTCTTGAATGAATCAGTCTCTGTATTCGAAATTCAGAATAGTGCATTATTGTTTACTAGGAAACACGTGCCCTAAATGCGCAATATAGTATAGAAATAAAAGAATAAAATCGAATTTTGAATGGAATTAATTTAATCAAACTAATATTTAAATTGATCGCCAGGTGTGCGTAACACCACCTAGTTACGACCGGTCAACGACGTAACATCAAACCCTCAAACCAAGGTTTTGTCGACCCTGAATAATATTTTTTTAAATATTCTTTTCTTGTCCAACTGCTTTTTTACCGACGATCGACTGTGGCGCCATCTCTCCCATGGGGTGATACTCATTTGGCGATGCCAAAAGTGTTTCCAGCGCTATATCCGGAAAAACGGACTGATTCGGAACTACTCTAAGGCGAAATGGCCAACGTCACGTCCTAGTTTGTAACCAACTTCATATTAAAACAAAGCGAACTTCATTTTACTCATAAAAATGACTACAAATGTTTATAAAAAAAAATGATCGAAGAGTCTGCTGTGTGCCAAACAATTTCCTATCTGATGCGGCCTTGCGGAACCAGTGGATGGAGGTATTGAAAATCGACAGACCTCATGATCGAGAAATGAGTTTGCAGTTTGCATTTTTCTGCAGATAACTTTACGAAACAAGGTTAGCATTATAAATAATTTATATTGAAAATTTATTGATTAGGAATGAGTATTAGATGTTAATTGTGGAGTAGTAGTCAAGACCTAAAACGTTTTAAGTAACTGGGGTTAAGGGGTTATATTTTGATGAATATTACGGAATCTGAGAAAGATAGTTAAATTTCTCCAAATACCGTTTTTGTAGTTCTCATTGCACTCTACCGAAAAAGGTCCTCACCAATCAAATTTCGCTGTAACTCTTAGATTCGGAAATATTTCTCAAAACCTCAGTTAGGGGCTAAGTTGATTCAAATCGTTTTAAGTGTTTGCCACTAAAAATTACGAAACTCAATAATATTCTTGATCTGTTTCAGCTATGCGCGAAGGTTGTCAACCTCCTAGGAAGAAGTTGAAAACTGGTGTCATACCATGTTTTGATTCTAGGACAGTTTTTTCCCGGACAAAATCTCCCGGACAAAATTTCCCGGATAAAATTTCCCCGGACAAAATCTCCCCGAAAAAGAATTTCCCCGGATAAAATCTCCCTGAAAAAGGGATTTGTGATTAGGAAACCGGATCCGGCCAAAATAAATATAACGATAATGCTCAATTAAAGGGGTTTTTATTACTGAATCGCACAATAGAACACATGAAATTATCGAGTCTTTAGCCTCAATGAAATTACAAAAGAATTAAATTCATACGGATTGCTATTTGCGGAAAATTTACCCTTCAGAAGACTCGTTGAAAGGAATTTTTCGGGGAAATTTCGCAAAAAGCAATTGTCCGGGGAGATTTTGTTCAGGGAGATTTTGTCCGGGAAATTTTGTCCGGGAGATTTTGTCCGGGGAAAAACTGTCCGACTACCATTTTCAATAATGGAATCTTCTTGACCCTCGCCGTTAGTTTCCAATTGCAATTTGGTTTACAGAAATACATACAGATGATAACCCAGAAAGTGTGCCACCGTTGACACAAGAAGCCAGTGTTGTCGGCGGATATGCTTCCACTCGATGTAATGCAGGTGTTCAAGTGGATATTCAGCCCGTTAAATTTGATGCAGAGGTTCAAGTCTGTAATCCACGTCGTGATATAGCGGTACAAGTACAATTCGATAAGTTGGATGCTGCGGTCCAAACGGTTATTCCACAAACACGAGTTGACAAGGAGATACAAACTGATCGTTCAGTGGTTGATGAAGTTATTGGGAATGAGGAGCAACTAAAGGCATTCACTGGTCTACATTCGTTTGCCTTGTTGACGTCTGTCATCATCTGTGTTACAGAATTGAAGAAGAGGATGGGAGAAAATTTGAATGATCGCCAAGATATTCCTCACGACATTTTGGTTCAGTTAGGGTATCGTGACGCATAGCTGGAGTCCCCTTAAATGACGAAAATAAAAGATTATTAATTTTCTTTGGCCAATCAATATTTCCCTTTTCCCCGTAAGTCCGAAAGTCATAACATGTGCTCCCGGTGATTCTTGTTTGTCTGTGTCGTCTCCATAAATCATTTTCTTGTCCCATTGTTGCCATGCAAATTTCAACCGCCTGAGCTTCTGTTACTTCAACATGCTCTGTGTAAAAACTAAAAAGATCGTCATTCAAAGCAGGAGAAGGAGAAGCATCGAATGGTAGGGGGATATGGACACGTTCCTGCAAGAAAGCTCAAACTGATTCAAGTGAAGCAGCTCTTCTATTCAGAGCAGCGTCAAAAGAGCGTTTTGTTCCTCGACGTCTCGGGTAGAAGGTTCTCGCCTCAGTTTGTGGATGAGCTATCAAATAAATTCACAGTGAATATCAAATTATAAAAATATAATGGGATACCAAGAAAATGGAATATTTCAGCTATTGACGAGAATGGAGAGAGATACAATCGTACCTGTCATCAATGTATTAACAAAAAAAAATCTGGGAGTTTGGGTCATTCTCTTTTTCTACCTTCTCCACCTTCATGCAACAAAATTCCTCCAAATTCACTACCTCATTCTGGGGTAAATCAGCATTTGATTTCACCTTGCCCCATTGCTGTTTCAAGTCTGTACAGCTCAACATCTCCAATCTATCAACTCGAACCCTAGATAAATCCAATATTTAAACTGCAGATTGCGTATACTCGAATATGACTGACGATCAGCACATGTATTGAAGTAGATAAAACGATCAAAAACAAAAAAAACACATGACTTTCCTCACCGATAAATATATAGAAGTTTCGCAAAAATGTGTTTACATTTTTCACCCAAGTCAGCTGGACAAGTACATTTGCTAATTATTCTCCTCCTATTTTCCTCAAACAGAATTTTTATAGTTATTTTGTGGTAATTATCCCAATGTGACGATTGACGACAAGCTGACACAATTCCTACGTAATTCTGTTTATAACTTTTGACACCACAGATGAGGATGTGTTCAGCTAATAATACCTCCTCTCCTGCTTGAATTAGTCTCCTAGTATCTCCTAGTAAGTCTCCAATATCACAAAATGTCAAATTGAACTTTGGATTAATATTCATATTTACAAAAGTCCAATAATGATAGGGTAATGGGAGGCAAAGATCTTAATTTCGTATAACCATACATTCCGGCGCCCAACCACCTGGTAGGCTCCGCCATAGGCTAGTTATCAAAACCCTCAGTAAAGGGCGAAAAATCGCTTTTGGCATCGCCAATGGAGATGTGTACATGAATGTTTAAAAACTGGAACAAAAAATAAAGCTCCAGTGCGACAATTTGCTGTAGTTCAATTCTGTGCGTCAATTTCAGGTACATTAAGACCAGGAAGTATTAAAATACCAAGCGAATCTGAAAAAAAATGGAGATCTAAAAAAATAGTTTAAGAAAGATATATTCTATGAGACAGAAATCAATGAACATAATATTGGAGATTATTACGTTTTTCTACTTTGAAATTATTCTGTGTGCATAGATGTACATTACCAGTATGAGAATTTCAGAAGCCATGTCGCATATTGGATTCTGACGTCTTATATGTTTCCCAAATAATGTAGGAACTGCATCATGTTTACTTAGCTTTTACCATCTACTCGAGGTTTTTCCCACATTGTAGGCTCGAAATGAACCTATGAGGAATAATATAAAGAATTAGATAACACGTTGAAGAATTACATCAAAACATATGACATATCTCACACAGTGTAGAGTGACGAGTTGGGACAAAATCCTCACGATTCATGTTTTCAATCCAAATAGCTCTTCTCTCAGGATCAGTCGGAAAATAATTCATCTTAAAACCCTTCGCTGCAGAATTTGTGCAGTAATCCGCTACACATCCCGGTATTTTTAATCAGTTAACCAGATCCAATGAGTAAACGTCGTGTTCTCTCTTCTAGGTTATGATTGCGGACACATACTATCATACGTACATAAAAAATTAATTCGGAGGAAAAATGCTCCAAAATAAATTACTTTTCGTCTACAGATGCATTCACTCATCCTACGCCTACATTATCACCTGATTTCTCGTTTATATGAAAAAAATATGACGTCAGTATAAATGGTCATTCGAAATTTCCGGTTAGTTTGCCTGTCGATAGCGGCACCAATCAGAAATCGTCTCAACATCCGTCAATCTCTTACTCTGTTATCCTCTTACTCTCTCTGTTATCCTCGCGTGGGGTGTTAGGAACATCCCAGACGTTTTTTCCAGTATTTCTCTTTTGTACTTCAGTATTGATATGAACAAAAATTATTGGATGAGTATTCCAATTATTCACTTCCATTTTTTTCTTCATTAAGTTTTTACGTTTTTTATGTTTATCAAAAAAAAAAAAAGGTTACTTTGTCCGTTCAATTAACGAAAGGACGTAAAAGGCCTATTTATCTCCTGGGGAAATTCATTCTCACGAGATTCACAAATGATGTCGTTATGGGCAGTTCCACGCTAAATCCGAAATCCAAAAAATTCGATGCCGTGGATTCCCTTACCAATTTTTTTCTGAAAAGTTGGGCATCAGGCGAATATTTTGAAGAGAAAAAATGATAACAAAATATTGATAATTGCGAAACATACGATTTTTTGGAAATTTGCAGTTTTTTGCGATCCAATTTATTTTAAATCATCATTAATATACCAGCCATCTTTGGAGATATGAAATTTTTCTTCAAGAATACACTTAAAGAATATTAAGAAGGACCGTAAGCAATTTCTTGAAAAAGTAAATTTTTGATGTTCAGATGCCACGAAACTTCGGCTCAAATTTTATGATAATTTAGAGCATCATTCTTTCATTTGATTGATACAAGAATTTCAGAAATTAGTCTCATAGTATTCGAAAGCTTGTTGGTTTTTCATTATTGTGGAAAATACATTTGCATTAACCATTTAAATGGAAGAATAAGGTTTAAATTGATTTAATTATTATTAACGGGAATTAATTCGACCTTACATCAATTAAATAAAGGAGTGGCATAGATACATATTTAATAATATTGAGAAAATTTGTTTCCATTACGGAGGATTCATGCAAACCTGTTATGAGCAACTGAAATATCAGTTTTAAATACCTGAAATAGGATTCAACTAAGTGGAAAATCCGACACGATTAGTTGACAAGAAACACATTCAATTTAATGAAATAAAATAAAGTATGAATTATATACGAGAAAAAAGAACGGTATGCAAAATGACTCTTCGGAAGTATATTGCTAATTTATAAGAAAAAAAAATACTATATCCGATGCAAAAGCTATTTCCCACTTGTTTTCAATAGCGATTATCTCAAAAATCTAATTTACAAAAAAATCTGAAATTTTTACCAAAAATTATGGATAAAATAACGAATATTTTCGTATTAAAAGAAGTTAGTCTTTCGTAGTTGTTTGGCAGTTATTGATACTTTGAGTGAGTGAACTATGGAAAATGACAAAAAATTGCTGTTTCTCATCGAATTATCTCTCAGTTTTTTTGTTTTTTCTTTTTTTTTCTTTTCACAGATTCATCCATTAAAAAAATTATGTTTTTGAGATCATCACGATTGAAAGAAAAAAATCTTTTGCCTCATAAACTCCATAGAACTGAAGCGACGAGTGACGTTACGCCCTTCTGACTCCACATTAGTGATATATTCCGCTAAAAGTTCAAAAATTACAGGGTGTCCCATAGGAATGTGTGAAAACTAAACTCATCTGCCGACTCATCCAAAATAACCTTGACTCTCCATAATCGCATTGTGGTAAGTCCACGGGAGGGGCATTTTTTTTTACCCTTCTGACCTTAAATAACATAGTTGAGGGTGCGATAGGGAGGGGGGAATTTTGGATTCTTTGCTGAGGATGCAAAAGGGAGGGGATATTTTTCTGACCGTTCTGACCCTTAATCGCATTGTGGAAGCCCACGGGGGGAGAGAGGATTTTTCCAGACCCTTTGGACCCTAAATCAAATGGCAAAGGTCCGAGGGGGGAGGTTTTTTTTCCGACCCTTCAGATCCCAAAACTGATTGTGGCCGATCCGAGAGGGGAGAGGAATTTTTTTTTGACCCTTCTGACCCTAAATCGGATAGTTGAGTGTATGGGGGGGGGGGGA